GTTGGTAGACTCAGCAGAACTTTTAAGTCCTATTTAATCCAGATTGGAAAGTGACCAAAAAAAAAAAGTCCTCCGGTGCTTGCTTTGCTGCGAACTGTAATGGTTTCAATATTCGAGATTTTGTAGAGAAAGGGGAGAACCCCCAACTTCCGTAGTCTATAATGCATTGGGAAAAAAATATTTTGACTATTCGATTACTTTATTTATGCTATTCCGAATATTATTCCTTAGAAAACTAATCTGTGTTAAAACACACACACTTTTTAAATTTATCTATACTTCAACAGTTACTGCAAATATATTATTATAAATATTCATACATATATTCATAATATAAGCATACCGATCATAATAAGCGTGAATATGAACTGACCATGCGGAACAAGAATGTAAATTATTAAAATCTTGATAGAAATTCAAACATGTGTAGTATTGGGTGGGAGCAAAAGAATATGGAAATGTATCGGAATTTCCTACCGTTTTCGCAATTCTTTGACATATAGAACGATATGCACCTGTCTGTACACACGCAAACCAAAGGTTATGTTAATGCCGAGAAAGAGGCAAAAAGCTATTTTTGGGAGTATGATTCACCCTCTGACATTCCATATAAGGAAGAAAAGTTGTTTATTTAGTTTTGGCTTTGATACAGGGAAAAAATCTGGTTTGTTTAAAAGAAAAAAAAAGAACTAAAAGCAAAAAATAAGCATTAAAAAAAAAGTGCTTTAGAGAAAAAGTAAGTACTTATAAGGGCTTTTGAACTTTATTTTCAAATACAGTCAAAAGTCGTTAATCCGGATTCGTCGGGACTTCGGCGATTCCAGATTATCGATTTTTCCCGATTATAGATCATCAGTTTAAATCTGGTAAGATGGCATGCAGAAATTATAACATTAAAAATATGAAACCATAATTTATGAAATAAAGAACAATTATGATCTAAAGGGTATCAAAATCTACATAAAAAAGCTTAACATTCATTTGTTTACTTTACTTTCTTCGCTATCGGAAGCTAATTATAATGACGAGGAATTTGATTTAAATCATATCAAAGACGGAGTACATCGAGATGAAATACTACATTTAGTAAGGAATTATAAGCCAAATAAAATAAAAACATCTGCCCTGAAGATAAGGATAGTGCTGACAGATCAACTTCCAATTCATTGCGCCGCAGAGCAGGGTGAAATTGATAAACAGATTTCGAAATGGTTAGATAAACAAATGATATGTCTTTATCCATTTTTTGCAACAATTCCACTTTTTGTTTAATGGACTTCGAAACATGCTTTCGCTTTGTAGATCCTTTACATATTAGTAAATATATATCGGAAATTCTATTTGACATAATCAAAAGTTCAAGCTTACTTTTATAAAATTGCTCTAACAGTCTGCAAAAAATAATAAGCCGGAATTCCAATTCGAAGATTAAGGAACAACGCAATCTGCAACTTTAACCTGAAATAGATAATTTTAGCTTAGGCTTATACTGTCCATTATACATTAAATGCGCATGCGTAAACGTATTTTGGGCATGCGCACATGCATATTCGCAGCCGTAAAGGGCTTACGCGCATGCGTCAACGCGAAGCATGCGCAGAAAGGAAAGTTTGTAGCTTTGAGGTCCGGATTATAGGTGTCCGAATTAATGACTTTTGACTGTATAAGAACTTGTAAGGACCGCTACGAACAATGATTGCACTGTACCAATGAAATGGAAAGTGATATCTTTACTCATAAGAATGTCACAGGAAGAAAGTTGTATCAAAAGTAAATGATTAAGGTACACAGCGAATAAAAAAGTGGGTATGACTGCAGATGTATCTGCAAAATGTCTCAAGATGATCATTTAGGCAGATTCGAAGCAATAAGTCATTAAGAAGAAAAATTCAAGGCATTAAGAAGATAAATTATTTATTACTTATTTTTAATTAATTTATTTATTCATTTTGTATTTTCATTATTTACAGTCAAAAGTCGTTAATTCGGACACCCATAATCCGGACCTCAAAGCTAAAAACTTTCTGCGCATGCGCCGCGTTGGCACATGCGCACAGGCGTTTTACGCGTGCGCGTAAGTCCTTGACTACTGCACATATGCGCGTGCGCAAGTGCAGAACACATTTTCGCCTGCGCGTTTAATGTATAACAAATGGTGTAAGCTAAAATTATCTAATTATATAGTTCAGTTAATGTTAATGATTGCGTTGTTCCTTAAACTTCGAATTGGATCCCGCTTATTATTTTTTGCAGACTGTAAGAGCAATTTTATAAAAGTAAACTTGAACTTTCGATTATGTCAAATAGAATTTCCGATGTTGGAACTTCCAAAGGATCTAGAAAACAAAATTATGTTTCGATGTCCAACAAACAAAAAGTGGAATTGCTGCAAAAAATGGATAAAGACATGAAGAATGTGACAGAGAGGTTAGTGAAAACGAAAAAATTTCGATTGACAAGTTAGTCGGTATTCTCGGCACAGCAATTAACGGGACTTGAACAGCGGAACTTTGTAACTGAACAAGAAATTATGTCTGTTTATAGAATTAAAGAGAAAGTATTATCACATAAAACGAAGCAACTTAAACAACTTACATTGAAAGAAATGTTTAATAAAGTAAACAAATAAATATTAAGCTTTTTTTTTTTTTTTTTTTTTGTAAATTTTGATACCCTTTAGATCATAATTATTCTTTATTTCATAAATTATGGTTTCATATTTTTAATTTTAGAATTTCTGCATGCCATCTTACGCGATTTAAACTGATGATCTATAATGCGGAAAAATCGATAATCCGGAATCGTCGAAGTCCCGACGAGTCCGGATTAACGACTTTGGACTGTATTCATTTTGTAAGGTATTTTCTCCCTCCTTTCTGCATGCCTTCATGATGTAATGGTAGCACACGGTTTATTCAAGAGGTCTAGGTTTGAATCCTGATGAGCCAATGTTCATTTTTCACTTCTTCAGCATCAAAAAATCCTAACAACTCTACAGTGGTACATAAAATAAAAGTGGTGGATGATGATTCTTCACCATCAAGATTTAGCGACTGGGTTTCCAATCTCGCATTGCCTTTTAAAAGGGGAAATATATAAGTTGTTTTTTCTCCCCTTTTTGCATGCCTTTTGGTGTAATAGTAACACACTTGGTGCATATTCAAGAGGTCCAGGTTCCCGGTGAGGCATTGCTCATTTTTCACTCCTCCAGCACCAAAAAACCCTAATGACTTTACAGTATAAAATTTAGTCTTTTTATGCTATGCTTTTTGTAACTTAAAAAATGAAAAATTTGAACTTATGACCTTATATACTTTCCCTTTAATAGAAAATACCTTATATACCTGATATACTTAATACCTTAAATATCCTCTCTTTCTCTGTATATATATATATATGTAAGATAAAAATATATGAATAAGAATTATAACTATAAACATTAATTCTTCCTCTCTATTCTAAAATCGTAATAACTTCTCTGCATTGCATCATTTCTAGATCACACTCTGATGACGTAATAATTGGAAACTGAAACTGCCTTTGTAAACCAAAACTTTTTTCTTCGCCGTGCTTCCATCCTTCATAACTACGCACTTCAGCTTTTGCTCTCTACTGTGCTAAGATGTAATTTCGCTGGCTTGCTTTCTATCTCAACAATATCAAAAATGTAAATCTTCTGTGGAAAGGCACAACTAGAGTGCCAAGGGATTGTGGCCACAAATATCAGTTGCAAATAAAAATGGAATTAAAACTGCCTCGACTGCCAAGTTCTTTAGATATTACCAAGTTAGCATTACTAGCATACTACACAATCAAAATCTTCTTCAATATGGATCTAATCACGCATCTACAGTGTTCTGTCTTTTGCTTTGCTTTTATTACGACATAGTATATATACATGAGAAAATACCTTAAAGGAGAAATATGTAATGTATTTTATCTCTCCTTTCGTAGCACACTGTATTCAAGAGGTCCAGGCTCAACTTCTGGCGAGGCACTGCTCATTTTTCACCTTTTTCCAGCATAAAAAAAAAATCCTAATGACTTTACAGTATAAAATTTAGTATTTTTATGTTACGCTTTTTGATTTTTGTAAGTTAAAAAATGAAAAAAAAATTGAATTTATACAGAAATGTAGATATTTTAACACATTAAACACAAGATGAGAAAATTGTGTCAACTGTGGAAAACTGTTTGCATGCTTATGAATCTAAAATTGTAAATTATACAATTTTCTCATTTATATATCTTTTTTGAATGCCCCGTTGAAAGACGTATTAACCCTACTTTATGGCATTTTTTTTCCCTTTTAGTGCAGAATGCTGTTTTCAAAAGCATTATAACAAATACTGAGTAACAAAATATTCTTCCAAAGTAAATTCTACTCAAATAATTAAAACAACATTCTTTAAAAAGGAAAAAACAATGTAAAATTGACAACTGCAATTTAAAAATATAATATAAAATAAAGATAATTCCAAGAAAGAAGAAATGAGAAAATTTTTTCTTCATGTTCAGTTACCACAAACTAAGAAGTTTGCCAAGTGAGAAAAATGCACCAAACTATATTCATGAATTAATCCATACAATTCTCACCTAGTTTTATAAAACTTGGTTATTACGCATAATTTGAATCATAGAATCAAAATATGAGGAAAACATTAGCATGTTATTTAAGAAAAAGTGCTATTTTCTGTCAAAATATGTATATTAAAACAAAGCTATATAAAAATTTAATATATATTCTAAGTCATGCTTTCAAGGCATGAAAAATGGAAGTTAAATTTCGTTAATCAATCAAGTAGAACAGCAGTTGCAGAACTGTCCCCCCCCTTTTTTTAAAAAGACGGTGTACATACATGATAAACAATTACAAACCTAAGAAAGGATTTATATATTTTTAAAAATTATAAATCTATTTAAACAGAAAAGTATCTATTTTAAAAGACAGAAGAGGAATACAAAAATGAGAACAAGATTTCAAGCATGTTCCCACAAACCTGTGATTTTGTTGGATCGGGCTGCATCCATTTAGGGGCAGTACTCAAAAGTGTATCTCCATCCATATCCATTTTTAACTCCCACCACATAAAAAGAACATCACAATTGCCATTATCTTGTACAGGAATTTGTTTGACAGCTACTCTCTTCTCTTTTATTTCACTTTTGCCAGTGAAGTCAAATCTAATTTGTAAAGAATGGAAAACATACACTAAAATATCTATATTTCAAATAAAAATTAAAACCAAATGCTATTGTTTCAAATTACTCAGTTTATGACTCTGTAAATGCTTAATATTGCAAATTTTTGCTACAGCTTGATAATTTATTTACATTACAGTTTTTCTGATTTAAAAAAAAAAAAAGAACTTGTACACACAGACAAGAACAGATATTAAAATACAGATATATAACAATCACAATACACACAATAATTTTATATTATTACATTACATATAAAATATTTCAATCAGTAAATCAGATTACATAACATACATTTGGATGCCTGATATACAAAACAAAACTTCCCAACTTTGGTGCACAATGTAAATGATGGTTTCATATTAAATAATTTCACTGATTTCATTGACTAATAAATGTTTTGAAATTAAATAAAGACCTGAAAAATAACCAGACTAATTTCCTTTCCCAATAAACTTATAACAAATTAGTTGCAATTCAAAAAAAAATTTTTAAACAGTAATTTAAAAACACATCAAAGTATAGTAGCATCTAACAATGGCCTACAAAAGTATTGTTCATAGGCCATTGTTAAGATGCCAATAAAAATCATTATCAATTAGCTGTTTGATACAATGTACTTATAATATTATGATTGGATTTGTTTCATAGAATATAAGGATTTTATTATCCCCATGATTTATTTCTTGCATTGGGTTTCGGTCCTTAGAGGGGCACGAAATATATTATCCTATAATATGAATTCTCAACCAGACCAAATTTTTTATTATTTGATAGAATTACCAACCCTGGACTCTGATATTTTTCAAAATCAAGTGTCAAAATGAAGCGAAAATTGCATTGCTGCATCTCAATGTATTTGATCCACTTCAACATAGCAAACCTAAGCCAGTCTTACACAGTAAATGCACATAATTTGAAACAGCACTTGATTGTTGAACTGGATACTCAAAAAACAGCAGACACAAATGTCTATTACCATGAATCAAATCAATGCTTTGATGACTCAGACTGCTAATTGACCAACAAATAATGCCACAAAATAAATAAATAAATAAATAAATGGGGGATTCCTTTAGATAAACAAAAGAACAGTTAGCAACTCATCTATAGAAGTTTCAAAAAACAATAAATTTGAATCCCCCGAGTGAGGATGAGTGAATGAATAGTGATAGAATGGAAACCTCTGCTATGCAAGCTACTGAATATAGTGAAGGATTCATCAAACTGCACAAACACCCAAGACAAATACTCCGAATATTAGTCTCAAAATACTTGACTGGAAGATATTAAATGACGAAACTAAGGAGCAGAGAAGTAACAGGGAACTTAAGTGGAGAGAACCTGATTATCAAATGATACAGTGAAAATGATTATCATAATGTCACAGCAAATTTTAATACAAGGGGAATAATTTATCATTCATTCCTCCTACTCAAAGATAAATTAACAAGAGCAGTTATAAAAAAAGTCACAAGAGGTACAAACCCAAAACATATCCAGCAGGCAGTAATGAGGGGGGAAAAAAATCCATTAAAACTGTTTTGAAGTTAATAAAGAAAGTTGGAGTAGAAATCAAACCCCCTTCCAATGTTTCCAGTAGAAATGGAACATAATAAGATTATTATTGAAACTATTTTATAGTCTCCTATTTAAGGAACTTAGCTGTATATGTTAAGCCATTTAAAACCAGTCTGCACCTAACTCAGTGCATAAATGCCATTGTTATGGGCATAGACAAAATTTAATTATGAATTCTAGTAAAATTAATAGCTTCCTCTGACATCAAAATGCATCTAAGTGTAGCATACATTAATGGCAACGGCAATAAACATCAAGAATCGGAAATTTGCAATTTAAAAATACTAGCTGTATTTGAGTTTCTGAATTGTGCTGTCAAGCTTAGGGATTTGAATTGTAAATATTGAAGTATGTTTATTATCAACTGAATTAGCAAATACGTTTGTATTCAGTTCTCATGTATTTATCTCAAGATTATGTTATATATTTGTTTTTGTCTTATTTTACGATATGATTCTTACAGACTGGCACTTTGTGTAATTCACTGGCAACTGGATTTTTATTATTTTTCAAGAAACATGTTCAAATTGCTAAGCAAGCACTCCTCAAACGACACCACAAATACTACAGGATAACCCGACAGCTTTATTCTCATCATAATGGCAATGATAATTATCAGGATTCTAAAAAATCTCAGTACCTTATGGCTAATGTCTAACCGAGTGGGTAAATATTTAATCAGTAATAAGCCCACACCACCATGTGTTCAATGTTGTTTATATATAAAAATGTATGCTTAAAACTGCTGATACAAAAACTTCTAAATGGATTAGTGAAACTTAATCTTACATAAATATGATTTTAAAAGCAAAGAAATAATAAAGATCCAAAAGGGTTCAGTTTAAAGGATCATCCAAAAGAGCTCTTTTAACCATCTCGACCCGACTTTTGCATGATTGAAATTTAACTATGAAAAGTAGTTTAATTTAATGTTGACATACTAAAAGAAATGTAATATGAGTATAAAGTTTTTAAATTTTCCCATTTCCTGGAAATCTCCTGGGACAATATGTCCCAATCGTATTGAATAGAATTATTTGTCCCAATCATCTAGGATATAATGATAATCTTACACTGTATGTGAATAAATTATAAAGTTAAATGAAATATACCAAGTATTTATTCTTACAGTACAAGTTAAGTATGATATGGCGTAAAGCAGTCTTTACCAAGTGCAACCTGATACATTTGGTAAATAGGCCAGGTTTCTTTAGTCACATAGTTGCTCCTTAATTCCTTGAAAACACTGCAAATGTAAAAACCCATTTAAAAGTGGGTTTTATTTACCCAATAGGAGATGAAATCTACTCTCTGGTACGTATGTGCCTATTTGGACCGAAAGGGTTAAAGTTTGTGGCTTATCAGTAGAGATTACGAATAGATATGACCCAAGTAGAATAGTGAAGCATTTTATAGAATATTAGATGAATATATATTTAGACTAACAAAGAAACATTATGTACCTTCTGTGTATTTAAAAAAATGAAAAATACATAATGTATTTTCTATGAAAATATTTAATGTTTTTAATTAGATGTATCAAGAATTAAATGTAATCTTATTTAAAATTAAATGTAATTTTATTTAAATCAATCAGTTTAAAAACTTGAAAAAATAATACTTTTAATAACTGCATATCTGTCACTTTTAAATAATTTTGTTAATTAATAACATGCAGATTAAATATAAAAGAATAATCTAATGATAATAATAAATCTTACATTTTTCTGAATGGCAATTGACTCATATGAAAAGTGAAACAATGTATTAAAGCCAAACAAAGCAAAATCATATTTCAAGACAAACAGCCCTTTGGGACTAATAAAGAATAATAAATACAAGAATTCACCTAAATGAAATGAAAAACACCATGAGAAAATGCAGGGTGATAATAAAATAATGTTAATTTATTTGACTTATTAAGTAAGTAAATTAAAAGACTGATGACTAAAATGAGATATGAAAGATTAATGAAATTAACATATTAAGGAATTAAAGACAATTTGCTTAACATATACATTTTAACAACCAACTATGGAAATTGAGTGTAGTAGTAAGTTATTATATTCAATATACATATGTACCAAAAAATATTCACAATTTTCGATACAAATTTATATATATTTCAAATTTAAAATTTTTCATACTTGCTTAAATGAAATGTTATTATTAAATGATTTGATACTGATTTGTTAAACTTTAATGTTTTTCTTCAAGAGAAAATAATTCACAGGATTTAGAACACTTATGCACTTCTTCGCAATGAGCTGCTTGATGATGTTTGCAATGTGCAGCTGGGAGAGGGAAGAAGGTGATTATTTTCTCACTGCTAAGCTGCTGAATTTATATAGCAGATAACAGCTCTACAAAATCAAACAGAAAAACTCAAATTCTCTTCATAACAATATTTTAAGTATGCAAATTTAGATTAGTTATTGTTAGTGGTATAGGGTATAGAGGGTACAGTAGTAGTACAGACCCTCCTGCCCACGGAGTGGCCTCATGGTCATAAAAAAAAGAATGACCCCCCCCAAAAAAATTAACAAATACAAATAAGGAGCAACATATAACAAACACTCATGAACATACGAACAAAAATTCACACAAAGGACAACATCAGATCACAATTCCAATTACACTTCGATTTGCATTGATAAATTTGAGGATATCTTGTGCAAAAAGTAAAAGAGCTTTGATATCAAAATTATCACTATATATAGCATTATCAATTTTATAAAGCTTCCTCTGATCAGCAAAGATAGGGCAGTCCTCCACAAAGTGTTTTGCGTCTTCAATGACATTGCAAAAAATACAAAGTTCATTATTTTGTAAATTGAATCTCTTTAAGAAATAGAGAAATCTCCCATGGCCTGTGAGAATTTTGTTTATATCAATGGTGTTAAAAATAGTCATTTGGTTAGAAATTCTGATAATTTTCATGCATCCTTTATTTTTTGGTGAATTTTCCTACCAGATATTCGATTTATCAATATAAAATTTCTTCATATGTGTGATGGCTATCAGTTTTGATCCTGAAATTTCAATAAAGGGGAGATCCGTATCTGAGGCTGGCATCCTTGGCCAGACAGTCGGCCTTTTTGTTTCCGATATGGCCCACATGAGCTTTGATTCAGTGCAGTTTTACATCTAAATTGCCATTCAAAATTTATAAACAGTTTTTGATTTAAAGATAATACATATGGTATTGTCTGAGCGGGAGAGAGACTGAAGCAACGACAAACAGTCTGTGTAAATATTAATTACATTTTGGAAAACAACACATCTCTTAATCCAAATTAAGGCTTGATACAGAGCCTCAAATTCTGCCTGAAAGGCAGAGTTATAGACATTTATTCTAAATTTCATATAGTCAATTTCGACACCGAAAAAATATACAACAAATGCTGCTCCAATCTTCCCCTCAATCCCAGACCCATCTGTATATATATCGTATGCACTTGAATCAACGCTCTCTTTGTCAAAAAAGTACCCAATTCTTTTAGAAGGGTGCAATAATTGAGCATTAAAATGCTCAAAAACATATTTTGTGACAATATAATCATTATATATTTGAAAATCAATTCAGTTGGTATGTAATAAGAATTCATCCAAAAAGAATTCATACAAAATTGAAAGGGGCAGTCATCCAGCCGAGACAAACGCAACCCAGTGGAAATTGTCCTGAAGCATCTCATGACCGCTAAAGCCCAAGCTCTCTGCATGCTATCAATGTTAAGCCTCAACCTGACAAGCTCCCCTGCTCTATGTCCCCAAGCGCCTATGCTTTACACGATCATTGGCAAAATAACTTCTGGTAAATTAACCTCAGGGTGGAGGATTTTGTTGCTAAGACATAAGCTGAAAAAGTATTTTCATAATACAATAGAATCTGATCTGTTCGCCATTGTAGTTGTTTAAAACATTTGACAAAATTCAATTTATTGTCAATGATAACCCCCAAAAGTTTTATACCTTCAATGAAACATATTCTTTTCCCCAAAAATCTCAGTCGTGGTATTCTAACATTCCTACCACCGTTGGGGAAAAATATAGCATTTATTTTATCCAAACTAAATTTCAGTTTTTCATTCCTTTGCCAACTTTCTAAAGTGTTACATATTTCATTGAAAGATTTCTCAATTTTTCCCAATGAATCGTGTTTAATTAAGATCATGATATTGTCAGCATAAGTGTAAATCTTAACATTCTGGGGAAGTTCACATTTTAATAAGTTGTCAATAATAACATTCCAGAACAGGAGAGCACTGCAGGATCCCTGTGGCAGCCTTTATATATATTAAAAATTGAATCCTTTTTTTATCACTAAAAAATTGAACAAGATTTTCCTCTTGATGAAATAATTTTTAATTAGATAAAATAAATTTTTAGGGATTTTCAGTTTGCTCAAACACTGGAGCAATGACAGCCAATTTACCAAATCAAATGCCACCGAAATATCCAATGATACCAATACCATGTGTTGCTCCTTCTTATTATTTCTAATAAATTCAATGACTTCAAATTAAACATCTTCTGTAGACTTTCTAAAGGCAAATCCAAACTTGCTGCTGCTGAACGCATAATTTCTGTTAATAAAATAAATTAATCTGACTGTAACCAATCTATCCAAAACTTTCCCAAGGAAATTTAAGAGCACTATGGGCCTTGGCTTCCCATTGCATTTAGGAATCAAAATGAGTCAACCTAACTTCCAACTCCAAGGGAAAACAGCCAATCTTAAACAAGGATTATATATGCCAACAAAAAATAATGGAAACATGCCAAACAGTCTTTTAACCAGAACTGAACGTACTCAATCCGGGCCAGCAGCAGCAGAAAGAATTTCTCTTCATAACAATATTTTAAGTTAGCGCAGGAGATTTTAAGCGAGAGATAGCGCAGGAGATTTCGGTTTCAGTGAATCGTCTTCACCACACTGCCAAGCACTATTTTCCAAAGCTTCAAAATCAACAAGAGAGCCCAATTTAAAAATATCACATATATAAGACTCGTTGATTTCCTCCATGCTACCTCCTGGACCATCAGATTATTTAATGATGAGATGAGGTTTTTGTTTTTTGTCCACAGTCTTATAATAGCCATCGAAGTAGTTGGTGCTCTTTAAAAAAGAGTTCACCTTATTCTCTCTTTTGGAATTTTTTATCAGTAGCTTGCATTTTGCCAATTCTTTCTTATATTTTATTCTGCGTGTTCTTTTTGCTTCACACAGACTTAGACATTGCAAACTCTTCTTAAGAGCACGCATACATCTTTTACATTTTCCTGGTTCAGGTATCCACCAAGTAACTTTTCTCACATCTTTCTTCCAAACCAATAATTCTTTAACTATTCTCAATAGCAAAAACTTTTCAAATTCTTCAATTATTTCAAGTAGTTCTTCCTGATCGTGAGTTATTCTTAATTTGTCACTGAGCTTATAGATAGTTCTTTTCATTCTATTGAATAGTCTGCCGACTCTGTGCACATTTTTAGATAGCATAAATTAGTGTTAGTGGTTACTGTTTAGCACCTTTAAGAAGTTCATTTAAAAAGCTCTTCTCAAACTTTTCAGACATAATGTATAATTATTTAAATATAAAATCTAAATATAAAGTCCTTACTTTGTAAATACACTAATTTTCTAAGTAAAATAACATTATTTGCTATCTTCTGTAATGTTCACAAAACCAAAATATTCAAATTTCTATTTTTTAAATCATATAAACCTCAACTAATTAAAAAAAGCTGCCAAAGGTTTCTTTCAATCGACAATTTTGGAATTCTGATTTTTTAACCCCTATTCCAAAATACTCTTAACACTGTACCTCCTTTTTTTTTTTTTTTTTTTTTTTTTTTTTTTTTTGGTTGCAACTATATAAAATAATGTTGCAAGTAGATTTAAAATATTCTGCAAAATTTGTAAAGCATAATTACATGACAATTATTTTGAATACCATTAATGAAATGGGAGAAATAGCAGTAATAGGATGCAGAATTATGAATTTAGAAAAAAATTCACAAAATACATACTCAAAAATGCAAAATGGATCTGTCAATGTCTTGAACTTATCATGAGGAAGTTGAGACATCTGCAAATCATGAGCAACAGACGAACCTGGACATTCAGTAACAAATGAAGGAGGAGTGATCATTTTATTAGAATTTATGTGCACTGGTGAAAGTTTCATCCACTTTGATATGAAAGGCGAATCAATAACTTGAATATATACAGATGCTACAGATGGTATAACTATGGAATCTGCCTGAGAAAAAAAATTTAAAAAGGATAAAATATCATTTATAAAACGGGCCATATTTGACTTTTTATAAAAGTAGAGATTACCAATAGATATGGCTCAAGTGAGGTCAATGAGAGGTCAAATTTATGTGGAACTGGCAAAAGCAGCAATTTCCATGCATGGATCCATTTGACTTCTCAAAAGACACAACACTAATTTCAACATTGTATGGTTAATCGTTTTTGAGTTATGCGAAATACATGCATACGTAGGAACAAAAACATCCATTTTTAATCTACCTTACAATCTTTATTCCAAAAAAAAAATCAAAAATGCATACACACTGTTTGTATGACATCTATATATGCAGAAGTTATGCAAGAAAACAGTCAAAATTGATATTTCTATTGAAATCTGATAACCAAAATTTTTGTGATTAAAATATTCCCTGTATTTTGCACAAGGAAGCAATAAAGTGGTTAATTTTTACCTACCCAGAAGAAAAACAGGTTTCTTTTCCAGCAAAATTTTTTTCCAAACAGCAACAGATTTTTACCACTTTCAAAACTCCATCAAACCAGTTAGGATCTGACAATCAAGAAACAAATACGCCACACTATTCCTTAGAAGGGCAGATAGCTATGCTTTCTAAATTTTACTGCAATTCACATTGTAATTTTATCACTCAGATCCAAGTTAGAGGAAGAAATTTTCAAATTTTATCAACCTCTTGATCATTACTGCATCTTTAATGAAAAGCGATTAGTATGTTGTTACTTGGGTGGAAAAATGTCCATTGTGAATAAGCCCGTTATTCATATTTTTAGGAATGAGCAATGTGGTTAGCAGAGCTTAAAACCAGTAGACAATCTTCTTTTTTCGTCCCTTCCTAAAGACGATTCTTTTAAAAACAAAAATAATACTTCTTACTATATATTTTTGTTGAAGGATATGATGAATGAAGTTAATTTTTTCATGAAACTAGTGGCAAAAATTAATTTGTAAAATACCTTTTTTACCGAAATATGGTATGCATTATACACATTTTTTTCATTAAATAAATGTTTTAAAATATATTTTAATGATTAGTCAAAATTATTGTTATAATTTTTATTTTATTTATTTAAATATTTTACATACTTATAAAAAGTTCAGTTTTAAACTTTTAACAATAAGTCATTCAAATAAGAGGTAACTTTTTGGTTGCAAGAATGGCCTGGTAATCCTCTGAGCAACATAGTATTTAAATGGTATTTATTTGCTACATTTATATAATTACATATTTTAGTCTTTGTTTTCACAACCTTCCTCATTTGTAAGGGTCATATTTAGATCATTAATGATAATAACAAGGCAAAATACTTTAAACAATACAGATATCTATCAAGTGATAATAAATTTTATAACCGGATAAAGGTGATCATAATGTTCAAAGGCATAATTATTTTGACATAAAAGTTACTTTTATTTGTTTTTCACATAAAAGTTACTTTAAATGATAAAAGAAAGGTCCTACATTTGCACCAACATGAAAAGTAGTGTATATGTTTTATGTTGTGTAGAGTATGAGCATAAAAATATTGTTGCATTCTACGGGTTAGTGGATTGGGAGTAATTGTCGACACCACTTGATGACAAATTAAAACACAATTTATTCGCCTGTTTTACACAGGAAAGTTCCAAATACATGTTTACAATTGTCGAAGAACTACAATAAACATGCTGAAACAATTAGCCTTCAGGCTTCATGGCAAAGCACTAAAGTACAGCCCCCCAACCCGGTTGATCGCCATCCAGCTAATCTCTGAACTCAATGTACTCTACTACTACTCAAGACACTCCTGACGATACTGCTACTGCTACTCCATGTACAAGCAAGGTATTTATACAGCTTTTGACCTACCTTTGAGAACATTCTCAGAAAAAACCCAGTAAGAACTCCTTCTAGAATGTTCCTGCTCCGCCTATAGCGTATTGCCAATTTTTTTGCCAAACGGGCGATCTCATGCCGAATCTGGCAACCCTACCTTTCCATGTCACTTTCTGGGAACCCTTACCCGCTTTGCGGGGAAGCTATCTTACTGCAGCTGAGCATTTCATAAAAATATAATCATACTTAATATTTTTATCTATATTAAGTACCTTATTACAAAAACAAAAAGTCTAGAAAACTGTATTAATTCTGACCAAACATATAACATTTTGCACAACTAATTTTATGATTATATTATTCCATGCAGAGAACAAGCAACTACTTAAATAAGAAAAAAATTAAAACCTCAATCAAATTCTTAAGAGCATGATGAAATGTTAAAATGGCTCCTTCCCCAATAAGCTCAGTGTCAAAAACTTCAGCAACTAAAATATTAGCTTTTTCTTTCAGGTCACCATCTGTAATAAATAAGTAAATTATAGCTTGGATATATACATAATTTGAAACTCTCACTCAAAATATAATGCATAAAAAAGTACCCTATTTGGAACCATCTAGTTGGAGAACCAATTAATAAAATATTAATTGATTATCCAACCAATTAATAATTATTATAAATTAATAAGAGTAAAATTTACATATCCGACAATAAGTTTTATTTTTTAAATGAACATAAACTTCTACTTCATATAACTATAGAGACTGACGGATTATATAAAAAGTTAGATTTTGGAAATTTAAAAGTAACAAAAGATGAACACCTGCATCATTTAGAACATTTTGGTAACTGGAAGTACAGTAGAACCTCTATTAACATGTCCTCTACCAACCAAGATCTCTGTTAAGCAAGGGGTATCAATTTTAAAAAAATCATTGGGAAAATGCAGTAACATTAGGAAGGAGAAAATAAAAATCAGTAACATTTGCAAATTTGATCAGTGACTGATCACCATTTTTTAAAATAAATCATTTAACACTAGCGTTACAGCATTTTTATAACTATGATCAGCAGTCATTTTGATCATTTGTTCTGAATAGAAGAAAAGGGTTACTTTTCGCTAATATTATATAAAGTTAATGCTTATAACAACATATTTTTGCTTGTTTAACCCTTAACTTCCCACTGTTGCATTTCTGCAACACATTATTATTTTTTTTTTTAATTTAACAGACTCGATATTTTTTTTTAATTACCTACAAATCACTTATTTGAGAAAAAAAAGGTTATTGCAATGAAATACATGCTAAATTTGTCACTAGATAGCAGCACATTTTTTCCAGAAATCACAACAATTATAAAAATCTCTGATGCCTCAAGAACTATGTTTTTGCTATAAAAAGAATCCATTATATTTTATGCTTCCTCTTGTTTATTGACGAAAACAATTACCAGGTAAGAATAAGTCATTCAAATAAGAGGTAACTTTTTGGTTGCAAGAATGGCCTGGTAATCCTCTGAGCAACATAGTATTTAAATGGTATTTATTTGCTACATTTATATAATTACATATTTTAGTCTTTGTTTTCACAACCTTCCTCATTTGTAAGGGTCATATTTAGATCATTAATGATAATAACAAGGCAAAATACTTTAAACAATACAGATATCTATCAAGTGATAATAAATTTTATAACCGGATAAAGGTGATCATAATGTTCAAAGGCATAATTATTTTGACATAAAAGTTACTTTTATTTGTTTTTCACATAAAAGTTACTTTAAATGATAAAAGAAAGGTCCTACATTTGCACCAACATGAAAAGTAGTGTATATGTTTTATGTTGTGTAGAGTATGAGCATAAAAATATTGTTGCCTTCTACGGGTTTGGATTGGGAGTAATTGTCGACACCACTTGATGACAAATTAAAACACAATTTATTCGCCTGTTTTACACAGGAAAGTTCCAAATACATGTTTACAATTGTCGAAGAACTACAATAAACATGCTGAAACAATTAGCCTTCAGGCTTCATGGCAAAGCACTAAAGTACAGCCCCCCAACCCGGTTGATCGCCATCCAGCTAATCTCTGAACTCAATGTACTCTACTACTACTCAAGACACTCCTGACGATACTGCTACTGCTACTCCATGTACAAACATTTTATGTTCATTTAAAAATAATTTTGATTTTCTAACGGAAAAAGTTTGAAAGAAATTTGATTTTAATTATATGTTGCAGGTCTGCAACATTGGTCTTTGGTTACCATTTTGACATGGCCAAAAAGCGTATACAGTCAAAAGTCGTTAATCCGGACTCGTCGGGACTTCGGCGATTCCGGATTATCGATTTTTCCGGATTATAGATCATCAGTTTAAATCTGGTAAGATGGCATGCAGAAATTACAAAATTAAAAATATGAAACCGTATTTATGAAATAAAGAACAATTATGATCGAAAGGGTATCAAATTTACGAAAAGAAAAGCTTAATATTTATTTGTTACTTTATTTAAACATTTCCTTCAATGTAAGTTGCTTCGTTTCATGTGATAATACTTTCTCTTTAATTCTATTAAACAGACAAAATTTTTTGTTTAGTTACAAAGTTCCACTGTTCAAGTCCTATAATTGCTGTGTTCAAGAATACCGACTAATTGTCAATCGAAATGTTTTTGTTTTCAATAACCTCTGGGTCACTTTCTTCACTATCGGAAGCGAATTATAATGATGAGGAACTTGATTTAAATCATATCAAAGACAGAGTATATCGAGATGAAATACTACACTTAGTACGGAATTATAAACCAAATAAAATAAAAACATCTGCTCTGAAGATAAGGATAGTGCTGACAGATCAACTTCCAATCCGCAGCGTGAAATTAATAAACAGATTTCGGATTTCAAAACATACTTTCGCTTTGTAGATACAAATTACATATTAGTAAATATATATCGGAAATTCTATTTGACATAATCTTTCTAATCTATCATAATCTAATAATGACGTTTCTGCCCCCCCCCTCTGCCGCAGAGCAGCGTGAAATTGATAAACAGATTTCGGATTTCAAAACATACTTTCGCTTTGTAGTAAATATATATCGGAAATTCTATTTGACATAATCGAAAGTTCAAGCTTACTTTTATAAAATTGCTCTAACAGTCTGCAAAAAATAATAAGCCGGATCCAATTCAAAGGTTAAGGAACAACGCAATCTGCAACATTAACTGAATTAGATAACTTTAGCTTAGCGTATAACTCCGTTAGACATTAAACGCGCATGCGCACAAACATATTCGCAGCTGTAAGGATCTTATGCGCTCTCGTAAACGCCTGGGCGCATGCGTAAACGCGACGCATGCGCAGAAAGTTTGTAGCTTTGAGGTCCGGATTATAGATCATTCCGGATTATGGGTGTCCGAATTAACGACTTTTGACTGTACTAACCCAAGATGAAATTGCTAGATATATGAATAATTTGGGCGAATTGGGTGATTTAAGTGAGGATAGTCTTGAATATTCCGCTGATGATGTTCATTTTTTACCAGATTGTGTGTTCAGAATTTGAAAAACATCCGATGATGATGATAATAAATTTGATAGAAATATTTCAGTCAGTGTGTGTGTGTGTGATTATGGCAAAGCCTCGAGAGCTATCTGCCTACGGGAAAGAATGCCTTTGTGGAGGATTTTCTAAGGGAAACTGGCTTGTATACCGGTTAAACATGGGGAAAACCACGAAAACGAACTATCAGTGTTCAGCGACTTTACCACTCGGCCGCTGGTATATTTCAGTCAGAGAACCTTTTTTTAATTTAGCTGTTAAGAATAATAAAACATTGTCAAAGAATATTTTATGGAAAAATCAAAACATTTCATTGATTGAAGAAGAAATAAAATTCCATGGAGATGACACGCTCCCAAGAGAAATTACGGATTTGGACACTACGTACCAATTTTTTAAATATTTATGGATGGAAGAGATCATAAGTAACATTTATGAAGACAGCAAACGATATGCTATTCAAAAGAATCCAAGTAAGCCTTTGACTATATCAGAGAATGAAATAAATCAATATTTGGGTATTTGCATTTATGCATCTCTAGTTCACCTGCCAAACTATAGAGCATACTGATCAGCAGAGCTTGGATTTGATCAAATTAAAGAAACAATGAAGAAATCTGAAATTTAAAAAAAAAAAAAAAAAAAAAAAAAAATCTAATGAATTTACAAAAATTCAAATCAGAAGTTGCATTATCGTGCTTATGCAAAATGGGGTACAATCAAAATGTGCTAAAAGAGGAAGACCTTAGTAATACTTCAATAGAACAAATGTTCTCAGAGCAAAAGATGCAAAGGAGACTGCCCAATCCTGTTCCATGTAAGGACATTCGTAGAAATGATATAAATCATTCGCCAATATGGTCAGAAAAGAATACGGTGCAAGTTTCCAAACTGCAAGAGCTACACTCAAACTGAGTGTGAAAAGTGTAAAGTAGGGGACTTTTTACAATAAAGTCAATAACTGCTTTAAAAATTTTCATTGTATGTAAGGCTAAAGCAATTTATAACAATGAATAATAAAATCCTCATCTAAAAAAAAGTTTTGTAATTTTACAGCACTACCGTGCAATGTTGCACTTCTGCAACAAACAAAAAAATGACCGAAATTCAATTTAAAACTGCTTAATTTTTTTTTTAATATTTTCCCCTTTTATTATTACTTAAGAAGTAGCTGATATAATTTTTTCATAGAAATTTAAAAAATTGGGAAGTTAAGGGTTAATATATAAATAAAGTAAATTGAGTAAATATGTGCACGTAAAAGATAACAAAGAGCAAAATAAAGCAAAGTGAGTAAATATATTAATCAAAGGATAGTTTAATATAACAAAGGGCTAAAAGAGAAAAAAAAAATCACTCTAGATATTTTTCATTTAATAAATTACCCCATAAAAATTTTCCATATGAAATAAATACATTAAAAATTACACATATTAGTACTTACATTACTCAGTTTTGTAGTGCATACAGATTATTATTTTTTTAATTTTACCTGTACAGGTTCCACAGACATATTTTTTACAGTATTCACATATATTCAAAGTTTTGTAGTCTATGCATGCATTTATTTGGCATATTTCATGCTTACGGGAAGGGTTGACGCAAGTACCAATTCTCTTTGTTAGATACAGAAAGTTTGTGAATTTTGGAAGAAATGTACATCTTTCAAAACTCCTCAGCCATATTCAAAATAAAATCACAACAGCTGATATTCTTATATTTACTTGTTTCCTTATAAATTATCTATTATAAGACACACATTTCTTCTTTGCCATTATTAGAGAATCTCGGGGTTAATAATTAAGACAATTAAGTATAACAAACACCAATTTATTTATGAATTAACACACAAAAGAAATAATAAGAGCAGTGAGAGAGTATTTAGCTACAGTGCTTGTGTGAAGCATTCAAAGCTCTTAACTCTAAAGTTTGTTGAGTCACATGACCTGTGA